CTGAAGAAAAGCTATTTGGCCCATCTCAACCAATTCTTTTAGCAACTTAATTTCGCCCTTTGAAGAACCTATTTGGAATCTAAACCATCAGTCTTTGCCTTTGCTACCTTGTCTGGATAGGTGTTGGGATTAAGGCAAAATAATCTATTTCCAACTCATTGGCACTCCTTTTTTTCCAGTTGTGCCGTCTGGCCTCGATACTTTTATATAACATTTAATATACTTGCATAATCTCCTGCATTCCCATTGCCTACATCTGACTACTTAGTTTTGTTTAAACTGCTGAATCATTTCTCAACACATTCCACTTTAGTTTTACTTTTAATTTTTTATTTTTGTTTTTTTGTTTCTGTACCTTTTCTAATGTATTATCTTTTTATTTAGAAATTGTTGACTAGAGGTGAAGTTATAAAGGCAGTATTCCTCATTGTGGCCTGATCAATCGTTGTAATGTCTGTCATTTTGTATTCACTTCTAGCTACATATCGTGGTTCTCAATTCACTTTAATTACTTGCCACCTTTGTATGCATTGTTAGAAGTTAAGCTCTTCAGACACTTTTTTTACATAGTTAAGCCCAGTTTTCATTGGTCATAATTTCGAAGTATTTAAATGTGTAGTTATGTTTTACTGATTTTTCCTGTTTTTGATGCTGGCTCTGTTTTTAGTAGTCAGCACATTTGACCACACTACAGGTGGGTTTTTGTATAGAGTATATTGTACAGATTAGACATACGGGCGTCTGTGAGATGACTCAATGCTATCCAGTTCGACAATACGTTTTCTAATGTCTAGATCTTATTCTTTCTGTTTTGAGTTTCGTTTCTACATGTAGGTGCTTGGCCAAGCTGTCTGGAAATCTAGAGCAATATGCCACTTTATCTTTAGCCAGAAAAATCACCAATGACCTTGTCAGAGCCTTCCTCTTCTAAAGCCATAATTATCTGTGCCATAATATATTATCTTAGGCTGTGTTTAATAAAGAAGACGTGAATTGCAGCTATTCCATCCTTTGGACATTACCAACATGTTGCTGTATAAATAGACTTTGTTGCTGTCAAATAGACAAATGGCAACCAGTTGGCGCTCAGTAAATTTTATAAATGACCAGTGAATATTTTGGTGGCCTGGTGCTACCCTGTTCCTTGAATAATGCAATGTGATTGTTGCATCTGTTTGAACAAGACTTTGGTTAAATAGCTGGCTCCAAAAAAACAAACCTTCGTAATGTTTCCTCAGTAATCTCATTCTGGATCATAGGCTTAGGAATCTACAGTGGAATTTGTATCTATAATGTTATGACTGAATTTAGAATATTTCAAATTAGTAAACAGGAATTTAGGATTTTTCCATTGAAAATTCATGCTGATTGTAGGGGATGTTTGCACTACAGTACCAATAGCTTCTATTCAAAACAAAATGCATTTAGTTTGTGATATTACAAGGGTTAGAGCTTTCATCCTTTTCATTGTGATGGTCACAGTTTGGTGCCTCCATATGCAACCAATGGGTTAGGGTTGATAAATGAAGTGGTCAACTCCATGTGCAGCTGCATTATTTTCAAAAAATGCCCAATAACTCAAATTAAAGAAAGTGGAAAATCCTGGTGAGGGTTTGGTGTTGACAAATGTAACATGTTACAGTTGATCAATAGGGCTTGAAAACAAGTAGCTGTGAATGAGATTTAACACAGCTTTATTTGGACAGTTGCTTTTTCAGCATTTTCCCCAAAAATGAAGTAGTAAATTTAGCTGAGCTATTTTTCATGATACTCTTCAGGAAATCTGGAATACAATCAAAATTCTAGCAATACTCAGCATTTGATTGCACCAATGGAGGGAGAAACAGTTCATATTTCGGCTTGGTGACCTTTGGTCAGAACTGAATGTGCTTAGAGATGCACCTGACTTTAAGCAAGTGAAAACGTTCAGGAAGAGAAGGAAAATAAAGATCTGTGATGAGATGGAGGGCAGGGGAGGTTAACTGACAAAAGATGAAAGTGAAAAGAATAAAGACATAGTAATAAGAGAATTGGAGATGTGGAATGAGGCAGTGTGGCATTTCAAAAATGAGATGAAAATTTTAAAATAGCTGCACTACTTAGTTCGCAATTTTAGGTCTGAGCACGATGGTGGATCAATGGGATTTGGTAGAGTTAAGACAGAGTTTTGGATTATCTCCAGGTTTATAGAAGACCAAACTTCAGAGGTTGGCCAGAAGTGGGTTAGGATAGACAAGTTGAGATCTTGGAGGTGCAATTCAATATTTTCAACAGCAGTTGAGGCTAGACTGCTATTGAGTCAGATCTTACAGGGGTGAAAATAGGCAGTGTTAAGAAATAACTTCATTTTGTGATTGCAGATTCACCTTTGGTTTGAAATTGATACCAGGGTGTGAGCAGCCTTATTCAGCCTCACAGTTGCCGGGGCAATAAATGAGGTAGTTGGCTAAGAACCTGAGTTTGTAATATAGACCAAAGACAGTAATTTTGTTCTGACCAATACTTGGAGGAAATTTACTCTTATCCAGTACAGTACTAAGCTATGGTTTTAGACTTCAGTAGCATGCCAGATTTATAAATGAACACTTTTTTTTAGTGAAAATTAATTGTTTGTTTATAAAGCTATTTAAGACTGACTGACTGGTCCTCTTTCAACAGCAACCTCTAGTGCAGGTGGGTGCTTGGTGTATGGGAGAGTACGGTGACCTTTTAGTTTCTGGACAATGTGAAGAAGAGGAACCCATTCAGGTAATGTTTCTTTTCCAAAAAAACTATTAAATTCTGTATAAGCCATTAAATACAGGAAGTGTGTACAGTTCAGTGCATTAAATCAGCATAAGCATTCCTTGACAAAAAATGTGGCTTGTTGCATAGCAACTACAGAAGCTGATTAGGAATTGAGGCAGAACTGCAGTTTTTGAAGTCATCTTGCAAATTGAATTTACTGGCATGTGTTTCAAAATTGAATTGCATACTATATAGTCCTGTACAGAAACATTGCTATTGTTCTAGCATTCTTCAGTTTTCGTGCATTTTATTGATGTACTGAATATAATGCATCATCACACAGGGATATGGATGGGCAGAGAGCAATACATTGGAGGCCTAATGAGCTTTGTCAAAGTATTGTGATGTAAATATATTGAGTTTGAAATCTGTTGCTGAAAGTGTTAACTGAGAAAAGTCACACTAGAATACCATTGCCCACTTGAGCAGTCAATTGCAAAGTGTGAATTTTAAAAAAAATGTCCTTTTTGAGCAGATCAGTCATCTGAATACTCCAGGTGAAAAACTATAAATCAAATATCTTTAAATTGTTTGTTTGTTTATTTCAGTACAGTATTGAGAAGGTACATAGATTTGAGACTTTTTTTGCTGCTTGAGTAATGTATTTTGCGGCCAGTGTTGAATAGTGAACCACTGGAATGTTTTAAACGTGCTCTGACAGAAATTAACTTTCAGAAACTACTTTGTTTGACCAGTTTTATGAAGTAAACTTACTCAAATAGCAGTGATTGACTATGTCCCCTTTCCTGTTTCTGCACTGGCACGTGTTCCTTTACTGCCACGGCTTGCATTCACTGTTTATTTAACTGTCAGGAAACAAGCAGTCTATTTTTGATAAGTAAAAGTAAGTGCTTTTTGTATCAAAGCTTTGTTTGTCAGGACATTGTTTCATTTAAGTGTTTTTTGTAGAGTCATTTTGCAGTTTTAAAAAACCACTCTGGAGGTGCTTCTGGTATTCTTCGGGAAAATGACAGTGATAAAGATGCATTACTCTACAAAAATCTAAGCAATTACTTTTGTCACATATGTATCCAGTATAAACTTGTGTAAGCATTTGTTTTAGGTTGTGCGGGTTAGAATACATCTTAGAATAAGTATTTCATTTCCAAAAAAGACAATAGGTGAGCAGCAGATGTACACCTGAATCAGGATTTCAAGACGCTGAGCTAGAAATTGAAATGCATACAAGTTACAGGACATTCAGCACAACCAGTCTGTGCTGGTGTTTATCCCTCATAAGCAAACAGTTCCAGTAAGATTGCCATATTTCTGCATCCAGCTATCAAATTTTGAATGTTAGATTTTCGTATAACTCCGTTATAGAGTCGTAAGGTAATACAGCATGGAAACAGGCCCTTTGGCCCAAACTAGTCCATGCTGACCATGGTGTCCACATTTGGTCCATATCCCTCTAAACCCTTCCCGTCTATGTACCTATCCAAATGTTTTTTCAATGTTGCTATTGTACTTGTCTCAGTCACTTTTTCTGGCAGCCCGTTCCATATATGCATCACTCTCTGCGTGAAGAAGTTGCCCCTCATGTCCTCCTCAAATCTTTGCCCCCTCAGCTTAAACTTATGCCCACTACTTTTTAATTCCCCATCCTTGGGAAAAGACTATATGCATTCATCCTAGCCAAGCCTCTTATGATTTTGTACTCTTTCAATAATGTGTCACCCCTCATTCTCCTACATTCCAAGGAATAAAGTCATATGCTGGCCAACCTCTCCCTATAACTCAGGCCTACTATTCCTAGCAACATCCTCATAAATCATCTTTGCACACTTTCCAGTTTAACTGTCTTTCCTGTAACAGGGTGACCAAAACTGTACATAATGGCCTCACCAACGACTTATACAACTGTAACGTAACGTCCCAGCTCCTACATGGTGCCTCAACTGATTGAAGGCCAGCATGCTAAATGCCTTCTTCACCACCCTGTCTAACTGTGATGCTACTTTCAACAAACTATGTACTTGTAGTCCTAGGTCCCTCTGTTCCACAACACTCCTCAGGACCTTAGCATTTACTGTGTAAGGCGTACCTTGGTTTGACTTTCCAAAGTACAACACCTGACTTGAATTGCATTTGCCAATCCTCAGCCCACTTCCCCATCTGATCAAGATCCCTCTAAAATTTTTGATAACCGTCCTCACTTTCAACGATACCTCCTAATTTTGTATCATCCGCAAGCTTGCTAATCATACCTTGTACATTCACATCCAGATCATTTATGTAAATAACAAATAACAAAAGGTCCCAGCACCGGCCCCTGTGGCAGACCACTAATCACAGGCCTCCAGTCCGATAAGCAACCTTCAGCCATCACCCTCTGCTTCCAACCATCGAGCCAATTTTGAATTCAATTAGCTAGTTATCCCTGGATCCCATGCGACCTCATGTCCATGACTCGCCTGCTGTGTGGGATCCTGTCGAAGGCCTTACTCAAGTCCATATAGACAATGTCCTCTGCCCTACCCTGATGTATCCTCTTGGTTACCTTTTCAAAAAGCTCTAAAGGATTTGTCAGATATGACTTCCTGCGCACAAATCCATGCTGACAATCCCAGATCAGACCTTGACTGTCCAAATGTTGGTTGATCCTGTCCCTCAGTATCCTCTCCAATAACTTGCCTATTGCTGATGTCAGGCTAACTGGCCTGTAGTTCCCTGGCTTCTCTTTGATACCTTTCTTAAAACCATGGAACAACATTAGCCACCCTCCAGACCTCCAGTGGCTAATGATGAAGCAAAAAACTCTGCAAGGCCCCCTGCAATTTCTTACCTACCCTCCCACAAAACCCGAGGATGCACTTGATCAGGCCCAGAGGATTTATTCACCTTAATGTGCTTTAAGGCTGCAAACACCACCTCTGGTAATATGTATGCAGTCCAAAACATCCCCACTTGTATCCCTTATTTCCTCAGCATCCATGATTCTCTCCTCAGTGTTCACTGAGGAGAAATATTGATTAAAAATCTTCCCTATGTCCTGTGGCTCCACAGATAGACAGCCATGCTGATCTTTAAGGGGATCTATTCTCTTCCTCGCCACCCTCTTGCTCTTAATACAGCTATAGAACCTCTTGGGATTATCTTTGTCCTTATCTGCCAGAGATCTATCTCATGCCCTCTTTTGCTTTTCAGATTGCCCTCTTAAGTGTGGTCCTACACTTTTTTTTTTTTTTAAATGTTCATCTAGGAATTCACTTGAGCCTGATAGCTGAAACCAAATGTATGCTGCTTTCTTTTTCCTGATCAGAGCCTTCATATCCCTCATCAGCCAGGGATGCGTAAACCTGCTGCATTTTCCCTTCACCCTAAACAGGACATACTGTCCCTGGACTCCTGATATCGCACTTCTGAAAGACTCCGGTTTGTCAGTTGTTCCTTTTTCTTGAAACAAACTCACCCACTCTACCTCGGCTAGATCCTGCCTAATGGTCTAAAAATTGGTCCTGCTCCAGCTCAGCACCTTAACCTGTGGACCTGCTCTATAATCTTCGATAACTATGTTAAAACTAAGAGAGTTATGGTCACTGGGCCTAAAGTGCTCTCCAACTGACTCTTCAGTCACTTACCTGACCTAGTTTCCTAAACGGAGGTCCAGTGTTGCACCCTCCCAAGTAGAGCCCTCTGTATATTGATTTAGGAAACTTTGTTGGACAAACTTAACAAATTCCACCCCATCTGGGCCTTTTACACTCTGGGTGACCCAGTCAATGCAGAGGAAATTAAAATCTCCAACCAATATTGCTCTATTATTGCTACAGGTATCTGCAATTTCTCTACACATCTGCTCCTCTCTTATCCGCTGGTTATTTGGTGGTCTATAATGCACTTTCTGCAGAGTGACCATTCCCTTAAGAATATCCTGCCTAAGCACTGTTATGATGTCCTCCCTTATCAAAAGGGCAACTCCCCTCTCCTCGCTTACTAGTACATGTGTCATGCCTGTAGCTTCTGTTTCCCGGAACAGTGACGCTGCTAGTCCTGCCCTTCTCTCAGCCATGTTTCTGTTATGGCTATAATATCCCAGTCCTCAGAGCCAATCCATGCTCTGAGCTCATGTGCCTTACCAGCCAGGCCTCGTGTGTTGAAATAAATGCGCTTTAAACCAGAAGTCTTTTCCCTCCCATTACTGTGCCCCGGCTATCCTAAATCGTAAACTTGCTCTCGATGGCTAATATATTTTCCCCTGACTTCTTGATGGCCCCTCTCTCTTATTTAGAGTCCCACCACCCTGCCAAACTAGTTTAAACCTGCCCAACTAACACTGGCAAAACACCCCGCAAGGATATTGGACCCCCTCTGGTTCAAGTGCAACCCGTCCCTCTTGTGCAGTCACCCTTACCCAAGAAGAGATTCCAATGATCCAAGAACTGAAAACCTTGCCCCCTACACCAGCTCCTTAGCCACGCTGTTTCTATCCTCACTGGTGCATGGCATTGGGAGTGACCTGGAGATCACTACTCTTGAGGTCCTGCTTTCTAACTTGTTACCTAAATCCGTATACTCATTCCACAGGACCCCATCCCTTTGTCTACCTATGCCACTTGTACTGATGTGCACAATGACCTCTGGCTGTTCACACTCCCCTCTTCAGAATGTTCTGCAACCGCTCAGACATCCTTGACCCTGGCACCCGGGAGGCAACACACCATCCTGGTGTTCCTTCTGCATCCACAGAACCTCCTGTCTGTCCTCCTCAAAACTGTTTCTCCTATCAGTATCAATCCTATATTGCGCCCTCTCCCTCTGAGCCTCCGAGCTGGCCACAGTGCCACTGACCTGATTGCTGCTTCTGCTAGCTCTTAAAAGGTCATCCCCTCTCCCAACAGAATCCAAAGCAGTATACCTCCCATTGAGGGGAATAGCCACAGGGAAACCCTGTACTATCTTTCTTCTCTCCTTACCTCTTCTGGTCACCCAGCTACCTGCAGCCTGTACCTTTGGAGTGACCACTTCATTATAGCTCTTATCAATGATATTCTCTTCACCCCAGATGATCCTAAGTGCATCCAATTCCAGTTCCCTAACACGGTCTGTCAGGAGTTGCAGCAGAGTGCACTTCTCACAGATGTAGCCACCAGGAACACTGGCAGTCTCCCTGATCTCCCACATTCTGCAAAAGGAGCATGCCACTGCCCTAAGTGTCATCCCCACTACCTTCAATCTGGACAGGAAGAAATTAGAGTTAAAGAGCCCTTATCTATACCCCTGCTCAGACGCCTCGCGCGGAAACCCCTCGAGCAAAGGCTTCAGCACTTCCACTGTATCGCTGGCCCACTGTCTTAATGGCTGCTCCCTGTACACCTTTACCTTGCCAGTCATCATCTTCAAGAGTCTTCTTTATTTAGTGTTTCCCACTCTTCCCTCCTCCGACCAATGTAGTGTTTCAGGTTTAACCACAACTTGACACCAGGTCCTCTCTGACCTGCTGTACAGTTGTGATGACTGTGGCGATGTCTCCAAGAATTCTGCTATGATGACAGTCAACCACCCTCTGATTCGCTGCCCTTCTTTGCCATCTCACAGAGGGTGTCCTGTGGAGGTCTGCAGTACAGTCATGACAACTGTGGCAATGTCTCCCAGAATTCCGCTGATTTGCTCAGTTGCTAATCCTGAAAGTGAATTCTATATATTCTTTTTTGTGAAACTGTTTCTTTTTGTTTTAATTTCTTGTTCCCATCGAATCTTAATACATAGATTAGGGCTAATTGAATTTGGAACAATATTTTAACATGGATTGATAATTGCTTAAATTGGCAAGAAACTGATTCGCAGGGTGTGTATGATTCCAAGTCATAAACATTAGTGCTTGGACCTCTGTTATCAATGACTTAAGGAGACTAAGTGTAATATACTAAGTTTGCTGAAGAAACTAGCTGGGAAAATGAGCTGAGGAGAGTAAAGAGTAAAAAATTATGTAGACCTGTTAAGTGACCAAGATCCACCTAGGAAAGGAGAATAGAAAACCAGATTTTGTTTTTAATTGAGAAATAATTAAACATCAGTAATAGTCACAGGGATTAGGTATCCTTGCGTATGAATTGCGGAAGATTAACAGCAGGCAATTTGGAATGCAAATGATACATTGATTAGAGTACAAGAATACCGATGCCTTATTAGAAAGGTACAGGATTTTGGTGAAAACACACCTGGATTACTGTCTTCAGTTTTGACTTGAAGGATATACTTGCCTTGTAGAAGATTGCATTTGAAGTTTCACCAGATGGATTCCTTGAATGAGAAAGTTGTCTGATTTCAGTCAAATAAAAAAACAATGTAATTCAAATGTATTAAGCTCTGAGAAAGTAGCGGCTGAAAGGCTGTTATCCTTAGTTGAAGTGTATGGAGACAGGAGTAATAGCTTTGGAATAAATCATTGTTTTATTTGGAGTAAGAAGTACTTTCTTTACTTTGGAGAGTTGAAAGTCTGTGGAATCTACCACAGCAGACACTGGATGCTCAGTTGATGAGCATATTTAAGACTGAGATTAGAATCAGAGTCATAGAGATATACAGCACGGAATCAGACCCTTGGGTCCAACTCGTCCATGCCGACCAGATATCCTAAATACGTCTAGTCCCATTTGCTAGCATTTGGCCCATATCCCTGTAAAGCCTTCCAATTCATATACCCTTCCAGGTGCCTTTTAAATGTGACAATAAGGTTACATTTTATTATTAAATCTTTGGATACAAAGAGACTCCAGTTATGGGCATATGATTGGAATGTTGATGTATAGCTCAAACATGATCTTATTGAATGTTGCAGCAGGATTGCCATGATTACCTTATGGTCTTTCCTTGTTCCAATTAAGTTCTTGCATTCTATCTATTACGCCACATTCTTGACCTTCATGGTCAAGTATATTTTTTGCTATTTCATCCAGTGTACATATAACCTCTGCATGTTGATATTGCAAATTAACAAATCTTGACATGTACAACTTAGTAACAGCCTTTGTTAGAAGTTCAGTGAGATAAAAAGCCTGGCCAACTGTTGTTTCCATGCTGTTTAATAATTGTTCCAAAATAAATTGTCATTCTCCTACTGATTAGGAACCAGTATGCTCAAAGGTAAGAAATATTTAAATTGTAATGTAGTGAACTTTTTAGCACAGCTTTTGCTGATCGTTTCTTTCCTGCATATTTTCCCCACCCCATTTAAAAGAATGATAACTGATTTATTTTAAAGCGAATTAAGTTTGAGGAAATGTGATCTATACTCAAATTGCCAATTTAATCTTGTGTTAAAATAATTAGGTATGTGAAGTAATTTATATCAACGATTTTTAACTGGAACATCACAGTGGTTCAGGTTAAAAAAAAAAAAATCTAGGACTAATATGATTGAAGGGTGTTAAGATTATTCTGGAGTGAAAATCTTAAACTGGCTATTCTAATGCTTCCTGATCAGCCCCTTGTCTTGTATTCATAGGAAAATTATCTGTATTGTACTATTGTATATTAAGTCCTGCTCATCAAACTTTCATGATGAATTTGTATGCTTTAACTTTTTAAAATTTAATTCTCCTGTTGAAACGCCTCCATGATTCCATCATACCTCTTGCTTGTGACCTATAGCTACCCCACTCATATTACCTTCGTAGTCTTTATCGTCTTGTGCAGTCCTCTTTTGGATTATATTCATTGCCTTTACCCTAGTGTTTCTCTCTGGTATTCTCTCCCTGAATTTCTTCCTCTCCTCTCTCTTGATCCTCCTTTAAAACCCACATTTTGGCCAAACGTTTTGATATTCTTCTAATAGTTCTGTCTTTCAAGTTGGTGTTTTTGTTTTAAAAATTGCTGTTTTGTGGACTTCTGCCTTTTAAAGGTGATGTATATAAATGCATGGCAATCTTTTCTACCACTTAGTGGTTTTCCTTTTTGATTTACCTATCGTCATCTATAAAATCTGCATCAGAACCCAATTCCTATTCATAAAACATACTTCAGATTTTTTGCTTTATAACCTCTACCTTAAAAATGGAAAAAAAGATATGCTTTACTTTGGAAATGTTTTCTTTGATTATTCTTGTGAACTTGTCTTGCTAATTTAAAAATACCTTAATTTAAATGTGGTTGCTGTTCATGTGTTCCAATTTTAGGGGTGATGGGATAGCAGGTATGTAATTTGACACACAGGAATTAAACTTAGAATTTAGCAAAAGAGTTCACATTGACCAAAATACAGACAGCATATGTATAGAAAATGAGACTGTTGGAATACCTCTAATCTGACTTCTGGGCGCTAAACCAGCTAGAAATTGCATGTATTGTGGTAGGCAGAAATTGGAACTCTTATTCTGTAGATCAGGTATTAATTTGATAGTTCTTTAAGCTAATTTTTGTTGAGCTGAAATTTTCATGTTTTTAGGTGACAGTGTAGAATTGGCACTTGCAATGTACTGTTCAAGCTTGGCATTGTTGATAGTGCGTACAGAGTTTATGTTCAAAGTAGTTCAAAGTGATCCACTGATCATTACTTTTTACCCCAAAAGGTGACAGAAGATGAAGTTATAGATGTTTTAGAAACTGTACTACAGTCAAACTTATCGACATCTGTAACAAGAGGATATGCTCTCACTGCAATTATGAAGCTAAGCACAAGGTTTACCATAAATGTAAAGTAAGTACTTTTTTGATTTGGAAGCCATCATGTTATCTTGTTAGAAAACTGATGTTAATGTAGTTTAACATGATCGTATCTTTGTGGTAATGTTACTGGATCAGTAACCAGGAGGCCCTTTGTTCATGGGATCTGAGCAGTTTTGGCTAGGGCAGCATTTATTGCCCAGCCTAATTGCCTCTGAGAACGTTAGTTGCCTTTTGGAGCCACCGAAGTCTTTGTGTAGGTATACCTGACCAGAAATACTTTCCGCAATATCCTTCTGATCTGATGATGTAACTCCAGTATTCGTATAGCTGACCCAGATCGTTTTCTGGTCAACTGGGAAAGGAATTTCATGATTTTTGACACCGTGACAATGAAAGAGCGCCAATGTGTTTCCAAGTCAGGGTAGTGTGCCCCTTGAAGAGGAATGTGGAAGTGGTGCATCTGCTACCCTTGCAGTTTTAGGCCTTAAATTTTCCAGGTTTCGGAAGATGTAGATGCACGTTGTGCTGCTGCTGATCAGTGTCAGTGGTGAAGAAATGAATGTTGAAGGTAGTGGATGGCTAATCAAATGGACCATTTTGTCCTGGCTGGGGGTATCAAATCTGAGTGGATCTGCACCCATCTAAACAACTGGAAAGTATTCCATTGCAGTCTTGACTTGTGTCTTGCAGATGGACAGGCATCAGGGAGATGGGAATTACTTGCTAAAGACTTCCCAGTTTCTGACCTGTACTCGTAGCCCCAGTATTTATGTGGTTCACCCAGATCAGTTTCTGGTCGATAGTAACCCCCAGGATGTTGATAGAGGAATTCAGTGATGGTAATGCATTGAGTGTCAAGGGGAGGTGGTTTGAGTATTTATTGGAGATAATCATTGCCCTTCACTTGTGTGTCACAAATATTACTTGTCACTTGATCAGCCCAGACCTGGTCACCGTTTGACTCATTCTGTATGTGCACCCTGGCCGCTTTAGTTATCTGAAGTGTCACAAATGGTGCTGAATATTGATCATTGCACAATGAATAACCTCACTTTCTTTCCTCTGAAGGAAAGATCTTTGAAACAGCTGAAGGTAGTTGTGTCTCAGTGGATACCCTGAGGAACTTGGGGTTCTTGTGGCTCAGTGGTAACATCCCTACCCCTGAGCCAGGGGACCTGAGTTGAAGTCCCACTTGCTTCATCCCTCTACAGGTTGATTTAGAAAATATTTTACCGTGAGGATCTCCTACAGTGGTATCCATAAGACCTGGCAAAACTGACACTCCTTTCTACAAAAAGCTTTTAAAAAAAAAAAAAAAAAAAAAAAAAAAATCCAGTCTTAACTTTGGGCCCTTTATCCCAGTTATTTATGTAAGTTGTTAAAAAAAAAAATTGAGGTTTGCAGCACTGATCACAGTATACCACTTGTTACATCTTGCCAGCTAGAAAAGCACCCGTTTATGCTTCAGAGATAGTAGGAACTGCAGATGCTGGAGA